ACTAAAGTGAATGAAGTATTTTGGATTATATAAATGTTTTGGAGATTATCTATCGGAATGTCAGGAGCAGGATCACGCCTCCAAACACTCTCCTTCCAGTTGTCATCTATATAGGTTACACCCGTTCTGCAAGCTGTTCATTCTCGTTTACATGCCCTCCCTCCCTCCTTGTTCTCAATTTTCTAACTTCTTCATTTCGATTTAGTACATGAGGATCTGCCAGGCCCAGGAGCCATCGCCAGTCCCCTTCGAGGCCTTCCCCAAACCGCAGCTCAATTCATGTCAAAGCATCACTTTTGTCTACTAAAACGCTACTACTACTCAAACCTAAAATGAGGACGTGGGCCCAGCTAGTGAAATATACATTGTGTCAAAAACACAACAGTGCATGGTGTGAATTGTGCAAAGAACGTTTAGACATTTCTGTTGATCTTAAGTCTGAGTATACCGACTGGATCATCCACTTCCTTTTCTGTCTTGTCCAGATTGGTAAATGGCCTGTATTTGTATAGCGCTTTACTAGTCCCTAAGGACCCCCAAAGCGCGTTACACATTCAATCATTCACACACTGGTGATGGTAAGCTACATTGTAGCCACAGCCGCCCTGGGGTGCACTGACAGAGGCGAGATTGGTGTGTTATACCTAAACCTATGTTAGTCCTGATATGAAATTGAACAATAGTATTGGTTGCTGCATACATGTTATGATAACTATTATACAATAATGTTAGCTAATACAGTGTTCATTGCTACTTATGTTTTCTCATTGCCCAGGAAAATAAGAAACCCACCATGACATGCCATTCTCCACTTTTCTTCTGATTCAACAGACTTAAGAGTGGGCATATAAGCAATGATTGCCTGGGTGTACTACTGTCCATTCTTCAGTCAGCAGACTCTTGCTTAAGAGAGTTGTGCCTGGTGTGTTACTCTAACGTCAGTGATGGTTTTCCTTATGCTCTCATTGATGTACTGGGATTTCCTGAGTGTAAACTGGAGATACTGAGGTCAGTGT